CTACTCTTCTCAGAAAGGAACACATTTTATTGTTTGTTTGTTTGTTTGTTTGTTTTTATAAAAATAGCAATGCTCCTTGTAAAAAAAAAAAAAAAAAACCCAAAACCTCCAACAGCACCCCATCTACTTCTAAAATGTCAATCCTTCCTACCAGAGAGTGGAATGTGGGGTCCCTCTCTAATGTGCCAGTACAGAGGTCTGGCTCCCAGGCTTGTGGGTGTGGGGTACAGGCAGGGTCAGGGAAGGAAGTGATGCACAGAGTTTTTCTGCCACCTAGGACTTGCACTCCCCAGCTGATTCTTCAAGGAGTGTCCTTCCCCATTCACCAAACCCCTAGCTCACTTCAGCTGCTGCAGAATAATAGCTGGGGGCCAGAAGAATGCCATCCAGGATTCCCAAGGACCTTTGTGTGCCCCCCCCCCACCAAACCTGCAAGAAGAATGATGGACAGGAGACTGAAACAAAAAGGGGAAAGAGGCAGGGCGGAGGAACCCAGCCTCCTGAGTCTCTAGGCCTCCAGGAAAAGACTAGGGAGAAACACAGGCTGAGAGAAGGGAGCAGGGAGGTAGAGAGGCTGAGGAGGGGTGCAGGAAGGAAGCCAGCTGGGGAAGGCACCTGAAGAGGCTGCAAGCTTTGCCCAAGCTGCAGAAGGAGCAGGGCTGAGCTGGGCTCATGGGTCCAGGCCTGGAGAGGGATGTGATGGGCTTGCCAGAGCACCCTAGGGATACAGAAGAAGGAAGAATAACCAGATACAGGATGGGGTCCCGACTTCCCAGGTTCTGAGCACGGAAGGGGATGCTGAAGGCTCCTGTGAGCTGCAGGCCCACTGTGAATGGAGGACCCAAGGGCTTGGCTTTGAGATACAGGGAGCTCCTGGGGGAACCTGGACTCCAACTCCCACTCAACCATATGCACACCTTGGCTCCCCCAGAACCCAGGACAGGTGGCATATTCTGATCCTATGGGGCCTGCTGCCCAGCAGGGTGGGGGTAGGGAGACTCTTTACCCATACAGGAGGTGGTGGGGGCAGGGAACCTAAATCTCAGAAGGACAGAGGCTCACTCAATAAACTGCTGGAAGGCCTGGTGAAGGTGGATGTGGAGGGCCTGGAGGATCCCGGGAGAAAGACTGGACCAAGCCCACTCCAGGAGAAAAATCAGCAAGAATTAGAGATGGCAGTTAAGCAAGGTGAGACTAGAGGGAGGACAGCCTCCTTCCCCAACTCAGGCCATTTTGGAGAAACTCTCTGGATCCCTAGCACTAAGAAGCATCTGGAGAGTGCTGGGTTGGTGGAGTCCTTTCCTGACTGGCTGTCCCCCCACTCCTACAGCTGAGCAGAGGAACCTGGACCACCATGTGGCCAGGGAGCGCCTAGTGGCAGAGCATCATGGGACTCTAGCCCAGAAAACAGCAGCTCCTTGTAACCAGACCTCCTCATCCTGCAAAGCAGGAGCCCACTATTTCTCTGGGACTGGCAGAGGCCAGAACAGAGACTCATAGCAGGGATGGAACCTGGGCTGTGAGCTGTGGAAACTCCGTGGGACTCAGAAAGGGCCGGATCAACACCTGGGGTCTGTCAGCACTGGAGCCTAGAAGGGTCAGAGGCACAGGGAAAGCAGTTTAGGCCAAGGCTATGTCCCTGCCCCTCCCCTCTCCCCTACACACACATCCCTCCCAGGAAGGTGCCTGAATCGCTTTACAAAAAGGGAGGGGGTGTGTAGAGAGAGCATTTTCCACGTCCCTAGGATCTTGAGCAGGTTGAGATGACAGTGACCCTGCAAGTGTAGACTGGCAGTGAGAGCATAAAGCATAGGATGCACAGGCTATTGGTCCCAGTGCCACGGGGTGAGGAATCCCGGATCTCGGTCAATTCATGCCAGTTGGGCTCAACAACAGGAGCTCTGTGTGTCCTGCTCTGGCAGGAGGATGTCCCAGAACCAAATGGCATCCCAACATGTGAGCGTGCACACACGCTCAGCCAGGCCAACCCTGCACACCCCTGCCACATGGCCACACCGGGTACAAGGGCACCCAGCATTCCTTACCCAGCAAGCTCAGGAAATAGACCTGCAGGACAAGGTCTCTAGAGAGGAAAGGATGTGGGTGGAAGACCGGTGGCCCCGCGCAATCCGTCCCCTCCGTTGTTAGGCACTGGGTTGCCCAGGAGCCAGGATGGCCTGGCAGGCATATTGGCTGGGCCAGAGCCCAGGCTCAGAGCCTATATCTAGCAACGCCTCCCCCCAACACATCCACACATGCAGGGGACACACTCTTCGCCTCAGCGCACAGAAGCCCTGAGTTCTTCGCTCGCTCTGGCACAGGCAAGATCTCCCCTACCAGGACCCCACCTCTAGGCCTGGAGAGCTGAAAGAGTCTGATGTCCCCGGGACACCAAATCCTACCCCTCAAAGAGGGAACCGGAGGAAAAATAAATAAATAAAGTGCGGGAGAAAGAGGAAGAGCGGGACTTGCCCAGAGTGAATCCTGCAGAAGCAGGAAAGCCCTGCCCGAAGCTGGGGAAGGGGAGGTTGCCACAACTGCCTGGGTCCGGTCTCTTGGGTTTCTGCCTCTCCCTGAAGACCGGCCCCCCCCCCCCAGGATGCAGGCGCCCGGAAGCCCATCCGTGGACATCGGAAGAGTTTCCCAGACAGAGACCTGGAGTTATTGGCACTGGGAGATGTTACTTGTAGAATGAAAATTTACAGGGTGAAAAGAAAACCTGGCAGGGCTCAGCAAGTGCTGTTCCACTTTTCTTTGAACAGAAACTGGGGCTGCACCTGTGGGCAGGCAGAAGAGCGAGGGCATGGGGGCCCCGGGAAGGTTGGAGCCTAGTGTTTACTTTCTGCTTCTTACATGAATAGCAGAAACAAGTAAACTTGAGAGAGTCAGAGAGGAGAAAGACTGAAATGCAGAGCATGCTGAGCGAAGGCAACCAGCAACCTACTGGGCCAGGACGGAGGATGCCCTGGCCCATGTGGGGGTCACTGAGGAGTTCTGCGGCCCCTCCAGTGCCCACCACATGGGTCCTTCCAACCAAGCTCGGACCTTCGAGGTCACACTACTCTGGTCCTCCTCTAACTATAAACTTTCCCTCCTCCCAGTGCCCCAGGGGCCACCAACTGTCAGCACCGGGCAGCGGGTGCAGCCTGCCCTCCCTCTGCACACACTGCCCAGTACCCCGACACCATCCCGCGGTCCCCTGCCCTACCCAAAGTACCTAGTAGACAAGTTTCTTTCTTTACTAGTTCCTTTCTGTTAGAACAGAGCAGCAGTCCTCCTCCCCTGCACCCTTTACCCTCCCCTCCCCTACCCAAAGTACCTAGTAGACAAGTTTCTTTCTTTACTAGTTCCTTTCTGTTAGAACAGAGCAGCAGTCCTCCTCCCCTGCACCCTTTACCCTCCCCTCTTCTTACATCTCAAACCTTTCACCAAGGCACTGTTAGTCACCTAATTACATAACTGGGGTGTCCAGCCCACCTCGCTTTCTGCTGGGGGCGTTTGAAATTGGACAGAATCACACGCACACTGGACACACGCTAAGGCACCAACACACGCACATTCACAGAAAGGCTCACCGAATCATGAAGGCTGCACCAGTGACACATTCAGCCCCGCCACAGCCACTTACCCCCAGCACATCCATGGGCCTTGCCCCCAAAGGCACTCATTCAGAACCCCTCGGACAGACTGGGGTACCCTCGCTCACCGAGTCTGCCGGCGGGAAAAGGGAAGCAAAATCTGTAATTTACGGCACTTTAGTGGAGTTCACCGACCCTCCCGCGCACACACACCTTGTACACGCGTCTTCGCTGGGGTCTCTCAATCTCTCTTCGAGCCCCTTTCTGAGTCAAACGAAGGGAACGAAGAGCCTGGCCTCTCCTGGTGCTGTCAAAGGAGAAGCCAGAGTCGGGTGAGCCCGGGGTCCTCAGAAAGTGCTGGGGACCGTGACGCCTCGGAAGGCCGAGCGCTCTGCCCAAAGACTCCCAACCCCTTCGCTTCCCAGCGCCGCTGGCTCCTAGCCGCTGTCACCTCCGCGCTTCGCTTCTCTCAGCCCACGAAAGCGGGACCTGGGACCAGGGCTGGGGTAGGGGGCAGCTCCACGGAGTTCGGTGGGGTAGGGGTGGCACAAGGAAACTCCCACCTGCTAACCCAGTCTGAGGGTGCGGGCCCCGCTTGAGGGCCGGGGAGCCGCAGGGGAACCGGGCGTTTGCTGCCTGCTGGTCTCGGCCTCACTCGACCCTCTGGGCTCCTGGCCCCGGTTGTCTGTCTGCACGTGTTTTCTCTGCGGCGGCGGGTGCGCGTCACTCTGTCAGCCCCCCGGCCTCACTCAGGCTCACTGACCACATTCCAGGCCTTGCCCTCCCGGGAACGCCGGGACCCGCCTGAAGTCTGTCCGTGTTCTTGAGTGTGGGTGGAGGTATGACTCTGGGGGCGGGGGTGGGGTACTGAACCCCAGGCCGAGTCCCTGCCTCCAGCCCCCGACCCCGCCAAGCGCCGGAGCATGGCCAACCTCCTTTCTGCTTGGTCTCTCTGGGGTCGCCTTCCTGGAGCACTGCGGTTATTGATCCCGCTGAAAGAGCCGGAGCGCGGAGCGTGCTTCCCTTGGGATAAAGGGAGTGGGGAGGAGAGTAGGCAAGGGGTTGGGGGAGGGAGTTGATAAACTTTAGGGGAGGGCGTAGTGCTAGGACAGCACTCCAGGGCCGCCCCAGCCTCCCTCTGCCAAGCTGGGTGTGGGGCTAGACTAGGGGTGGAGTTGTGCGCCACCCCCTCCTTTCCTCCCCACCCCCGCGCCGCGCAGCTGCCTCCGAATCCTCTGGGAGTCGGAGAACCCCGACTCCTGCCCAATCAGCAGGGATGGGTGGAGCAGCCGGGCAGGGGCGGGGCCGGAGGAGGAGTAGGGCGGGGGGCTCGAGGGGCGCGGGGGCGCGAGGGGCGGGGAGCCGCCGGCTTGGGTAGCTTAGGCTGGCCAGGCGGTGGCGAAGGCGGCGGTGGCGGCCGGCATGGGCGATGGGGGCGCCGAGCGCGACCGCGGTCCCGCACGCCGGGAGTCGCACGGCGGCCGCGGCGGGGACCGAGGCGGAGCGGAGGACTCGGGTACTGATGCCGGCCGCCGGAACCCCAGGGAAATTGCAGGGACCTCTGCTTCTAGCCCCGCGGGCTCCAGGGAGAGCGGCGCGGACAGCGACGGCCACCCAGGGCTCGGTGAGGCAGACCACTGCCGCCGCATCCTGGTGCGAGGTAAGCGGACAGCTCGCGGTCCTGGGTCACCGGATTCCCGCCCCCCCCGCGCCCCGCTCTTCTGCTGCCTCCACCTCCCAATTCATGTACTCAACCATTCAGTCATCACTCACTCATTCATTCAGCTAGTATTATTCTGAGCGTCTATTGTGTGCTGAACGTTGAGCTGAGTGCAGGGGACAAAGCGGCGAACGGGACCAAAGAGATCCCCGTGTCACTGCCTTACATTTCTCAGCCTCTCGGGCCGGCCGCTCACCCTAGGCCCATCCCAGCCGCTGACGGTGGCGGGGGCACAGGCGCGAACGCGGGATGCCGAGAGCCGGTCCCCGCCCCGCGTCCCAAACGGCGGGTGCGGAGAAAAGCGTCGCGAGCGCTCAGCGGGGTCACGACAAGGAGGGACCAGCGTCCGGAACCCCGGGAGGAAAAGGCCGGCGCTCCGCTCCAAGGCCAGGCGCTTCCTCGCCGCCTGGCCAACCTGGTTTCTCATTCCCAGCGACGCAGACCGCACCGGTTGCTCGCGGGAGAGGGCACCCGGGCACGGAGCGCGGGGTGCGCGGCGCTTGCCCGCCTGGGCTTCGCTCTTTCGGCTCCCACTTCCTCGCGGCGCCCGGGCCCAGCCGGCTCTCGCTGCGGCCTTCTCCCGGCCTGGCCTTTCGCGGCTCTCGCTTTCTCCTTAGCCCTTCGCCTTCCTCTCTTCTTTCCTGGCCTTTTCTCTCTGCCGAGCGCTCCCCAGCCCTCTTTCCCTACAAGCGCTTCTGGACTGCGCCCGAGTACCCGGCTCCTCCTGGCCTCCTCGCTTCGAGGTCGAGACTTCCCAGACCCCTAAAGCGAGCCTCACTGAAGCTGCAGGCTCAGCTTTCGCCGGATCGGGGCCTCGCCCAGAGAGATGGGAGGAGAAAGGGAATTCCGGGGTCTCCCCGTCAGCCTGTCCCTAGGCCTCGGCCAGAGCCTGAGGTCTGTTTCCCCCAGCATCTCGGAGCGCGGGCACCCGCAGACCAAGAGCCCAGAAGAGGCCACACGCCTGTAAAGGCTCCCCCCCAGGCCTCCTCCAACTCCCTAGCCCGGCTTCCTCCCGCGGCCCTTTTACTGCCTCTCCTTCCTGAGCGCCCTCTTGCAAGCGGCTAGGCTTTGCGAGGCCACCGGCCAGAGCTGATTTCCCCGGCCATCAGGTCCTGGGGAAGGGAAACCATCTTGCTGCTGGCCCCAGGACACTCCAGCGCCAGGATCCCGAGTTTGTCTGATCTGACCTAGGCCACCCACACACAGACCGGGGCACCTTGGCCTGGTTTTGCACAGCTTCCCACAGCTGCTGGGTTTGAGTGGCTCTGGGAATTGGGGACAGGGCTAGTGTTGAGCATGGAGGCAGCCCAGTGTAAAGTCAACTGATAGACTGTCTTGTACACAGACTCAACAGCCCTGGTCTTCTGAAAACACTCCTGGTGTCAGGTGTGGTCCCCTAGAGATGGGGCACTAAGCGCTGCTCTGAGGGAAGGCTCGGGCTGAGGCAGTTACAGGACTGGGTATGAGGGGTGTCCCCACCCAGCAGCAATTCCAGCAGGTGTGTGGACCTTTGGGGCACCTGGGATTAAGTTGGATCCCTCTCATAGACTGTAGGATGTCCTGAATACAAGATATCAGCAGCCAGCTTGGAGTTCCATTGAGAAAATCTGCAAGGCTTCCGGAAATGAAGAAATCAGCCCTTTAAGCCCACCCTCCCAGATTAAGACCCTCAAGTCCCTGGCTGCGACACTCACCACCTCATACACTATCTGTGGGTATTTGTGAGTTCCAGACCATCGCGAGTTCTATGCCACCTATCATCCCTTCCACTCTACTAACTCTGCATGTAGAACAAATAAATTCTGTGTACAGATGGCCAGTTTAATAATTCCCAGTTGTAAACTCATAGAAAGTAGGAGTGTGGTAGCATGGAGGCCACCCACGCTGGGAGCAATCCACAGCGGGACAGAGATGAACACCCCTCCAACACACACAGACTGTATGTGGAACAGCTTGTGTGCATTGTCAGGAGATATGTTTTTATAAATGCATGTGTGCACATACAGTAATGCATTATATTGGTATAATATAAAAAGAAAGAAAGAAAAGGTACATAAGGTCCTCATAAATCCCTCTGCCCTTTCTCATTTAATGAAAAAAAGGTTATTTCAGGCCTGAGATACCTGGCGTGTCATTTAACCCTAATTGCTCCCTAGCCAGGGTCACCTGTGTCCCTCCTGGCCCCACCCGGGCTCAGGGTAGAGGCTCTAACGGATGAAAAGCCTGGCGTCAGGATGAATGTTCCTCCAGTGTGCTTTAAGTAGCAAACGCATTTTGCCCTTCACCTCCCAGGACATAACCTCCCAAAGTACTCTTGGAGGAAATCATAAAATGGTAGAAAGGGAGGTGTTTGCCTTCACAGACCATTAGGTTGCTGATGGGGTGATAGTTCTGGGAAGGAACCCCACTTCCTCTGGGTCTTAGCACTTCTTTCTGTTTCTTTCAGTCCTGATCTCTTGAGGGGAGTTCCAAGGCACAGGGGGATAGAAGGAAAGTGTGTGTACTGGAGTTAAACGAAGTTGGGTTGGAATACCAGCCTTAGAGCCCTTTAAATTTAAGCCAGTTTCTTTGTCGCTCTGTGCCTCATCTTCCTCATTGTACATAGAAACCCACAGCTGTCACCTTGAAAGTCAGGGCTAAATATCAGAGGTGATGTCTATAAAATTGCAAACGCCCAGCAGGATCTCCAAAAATATTCTGTTGAGCGAAAGGGGGTTGCTCTGAGGTCACCCACAAACCACTCAGGGAATGGGCCTCCTTCCTCAGAAGCTTCCTCCAGCTCAGCTCAACCCCGCTATCGGGGACTTGGTGTCTTTTTGCCTTGGCAAAATGCTGTGCCTGCGTTGGGAGGTGAGCAGCCAAGGGGTTGAGAGCTGTGGAAAGGAGGATTAGTGCCACCTTGCAGACCACGAGGTGTAGCCTTCCCCCAGTCCCCTTCAAGAACCCTCACTCCACCAATCGCTCAAGTTCCCTGCTGCCTCGGCGAAATGCGGGTTAGGGAGCCAGGGAGGCGCACCTTGCTGCATCCCCACCTCAAAATGGAGGCCGCCTCAAGCCACACACGGACACAAACAAGGCCACAAAGATGACAGGGGAGTGTGCACAACAGGCATGTCCGCGCACCACCACCCCCCTGTGTACACAGCCAGGCTCCTACGAGATGAGACAGCCCCGCAGGCCACCACACACCTCTGTGTGCACAGCCCGTTGGTCGGTGAGGAGCATGGATGGGGGATCCTTTTGTTTTATACTTGGAAACGGCGCGCCAACCATGAGCTGGAGGCAGTCAGACAGACCGCCTCCCAGCCTCTGCTCTCACCGCACGGGGCGGACCAGATGTAATGGCCTTTTCGCTGGACCTGGGACACCGGCAGTTGGAAGACGAGGACCAACTCTCACCCGAAACTTCCAGCAGCCTCACAATCTCTGTTCACGCCCACACACTCAGTTGTGCCTGAGTGTTCCCAGATTAATCTGGATGCAAATTCAACAACCCTTCTGGATAGAGCTGGCAGGGTCGCCTGCTAGTGTCACCGACTTCTGTGAATAATGGTCAGCACCGCTACCTGCTCCCCTGAAGGGGTCCCTTAGGCCAATGGGTGCCAACACCCCATTCTGGTTGCATCCTCTGTCCTCAGCTCAATGTAAGCACCTTGGCCCCAGGTGAAACAGGATCACGCTGCCCCCCAGAGCACTCCCCTTCTGTGAGAAGTGGAGAACCCCCCTCCTCATTTCTACACACCTCTGGCGGCAGGAGGACAGGAAAAAATTAGGGACCCCATGACTGAGTGAACAGCTGACCCGCCCACCACCACCCACTTGCTGAAATGCTTTCACCTGGGAGGTTGATGGATGCGGCCGGGGTCTAAGGACGTAAGAAAACCCAGGAAGAACAGGGCCTCCAGCACCATCTAGCAGTTCTCGCTGTGGATGTGGGTGTGGGGAAGGGAGGCACTGAATTTAGTGGAATCCGTGCCCACCACCCATCTGGGGCAGTGCTGCTGTGTTCCAGAACGGGGAACCTCCAAACACTTAAACGGGCTGCACGATGGCCTGCACCAGGCAGGCCCTGGCTGCCAGACTCATCCGAAGACGCTGGGCAAGAGGCCAAGGCCTCTGGGGCTTGAGCTGAGAGCGGCCTGGGGGGCGGGGAACAGACTCCCCCCTCCTGCAGTCAGATCTGGGCTCAGCTTCCCTTCGAATCTGCTCGCTTTCTGCTTGGATTTACAAAAGCCACCGGATGTACACTGGCTCAGCCCTGACCTTGCAGGCCTCACCCTACACGTCGCAGCAGCTCCACAAGGCACACCTGCCCACTTGCCCAGTGGGCATTTGGACAACAGAGAAGGTGGGGCAGATTGTTGTATGTAAATGAGCACGGGATTGTGAGTCCCAGCTCTTGGGCCATTGGTGGACCTCAGGCCCCTGGCCTCAGTCAGAGTGTGTGAATACGCGCGATTACCCAGGCCCAGGCCCCAGGCAGCAGTCGAAAGGTTTAATGGTTCATACAGGGCCTGCACTTTGGAATGTTGGTTTTATATGTAATTTTTAGTTGTATTAGGTTTGTTGTTTTTTTTTTCTTTCCTTGGGATTGTTTTTGTTCTATGTTTGTTACGTTTTTCCTTTTGCTTTGTTTGTTTTGGCAGAAGGACCCTCATTCTCCTCAAGGGTCTAGAGCAGGTGCTATCCTTTTAGTCTTTATTTTCCCCTTTACACACATGCCGCCTCCCCCAACACACACACAGAAGCAGTCTCAGCAACCGAATGTGTCCTCTCATTGATGTGTTTTGCGTGCAGTTTGCATTTTTAGGGAACTCTGCCAGGCTCCTTGTGTTTTGTGCTGTTTTTGTTGTTCTGGGTGGTAGATTGGGCTCTAGTGCCCGTGGACCCACTGCCACATCGCCTGGGTGTGTGCCACACCCACGTGCAAACACACACAC